ACCCAGATTGCATATATATATATATATATATATATATATATATATATATATATATACTGTATATACAAATAGTCTGCAAATGAATTGAATTCAACTGAAACAGATCCAGTTTGCAGCTTATTGTGGCCAAAAAAGGTCCACTAAAACAGAAAGAGACTGTTTGACTGACATGTTAAGGTACCAGCTTTTATGTGTCATTTAAGATGGTAAATCTAAACATAGCCAAAATATAACAGACTGAACTCTAATTAGGATGAACTGCAAACAATTGTAAACAATTGTACTTTTAAATGTTTCATGAGAATATCTGCTGGTTTGCATGTCCTCTTTCATAACCATTAGATTTAAATTGGTTAAACAGAATTTAAAGTACACGGAATGGAATTTTGGGTTACATACACTTGTCATTATTACAATGCAATTACACAAATAAGACCTAAGCATTATAAATTAACATAATAATTATTACAATAATAATAATTATTATTAATGAACAATATGCACTTATTATAGGGTTTGGTATTGGTCAATTGCTTTTAATTATGCACAATTTACTGTTATTACCGTAGTAAGTACATGTAATATTTAAAACAAGGACACTGTGAAATAAATTCGGAATCAAACTGGATCAACCAAAAGTAAGCTTTTCTTAATTCAGTGATCAGTATTTCATCACATTTAGTGTAAATCTGAAAAATATGATACAGCAATTAATAATATCTACTTTGGTTGCTAGTAAGTGCCTCAAACAAAAACTCAAAATGTCTTGGTGAATTAAAAGTAGTGATACATCTTTTCTTCCATATTGTGATGTACATTCAAGTGTAACGGATTTTTGAAAATGGAAAAATGCAGGACGGGGACTTGGTTCAATCCATCGGTTGTTGTTTGGATTTTGGAATGTGGTCGTTGCTCTTACAAATGAATGTGAGCTTGTTGATTGTGGAGGGGACAAAATGATTGGAGAAGTCTGGCATATGTCACCAACATTTTGGTCAAATATTTTAACCTCTTAAGACCCGGCAAAACATTTTAGGAAAATATTAGTATTTTTTCATGTCTTTACATTGTTTAGAGCATTAAAAAAAAGTTAAAAAAAATATATTAAAATGATATTTCATTCATATGTTATGCTACGTCCTTGGTAGAGGACATCGGGACTCAATTTCTTAAAAAAAAAATAAAAAGACATGAATGAACATGCATAGGCAAAAATATTTTTTGTATAATTATTTATAATGTATCAATAAACTCAATCTAATTTGCATATTAATGTGTTTTTGGGGCAACATGTAATGAAAAAGAAGTGTAATAATGGGAGTAATAATTGACAAGATTTTCATAATAATATATAATATTTCATAGGAATATTGAAATATAATTTGTTTCCCTATTCATTTGTTGTGTCTCCCAAAATGCGTAATAAACATGCTTTTAGTCATTCCAGCTTCATATGAGGACATGTATGAAATCAACGTCCTGTTTCGAAACAGAAAGTCATATTTTGATTTGAAACCCCATAACATTTTCCTCAGGTGTTGATTTATGACACACAGTTTAAAAATTAGTCAGATTTAAATGATAATTACAAAATATTATCATATTTCCATAAGAGTGTCACTAAATTAATATCAGACATTTTTGATGACCAAGGAGAGGGAGTGGTCATGGTGAAACATCCAATCATTTGGTATCTCTGAAAAGCCCTGAATGTGCTCTGTACAGGACATCCAGACTTAAAACTGTGGCATGTATAGTCTCAGAGAAATTCACTAAAATATAATGTCCTCATATGAGGATGCAGGGTCTCAGGAGGATAAGGTCAAAAATAAATGAATTTTAATTTCACTCTGACTTTAAAACAGCTGAACCAACGATTGTTTCCTGTCTTCAGACGGCCAGTGAACGAACTTTGGGTGTGGTTTCTCAGGCTGAGACTACTGTGACCGTGGAGAAATGTAACAAACTGATACTCACAATCCTGATGTGTGTGTTTAGAACGGCGAGTGAACGTACCGCAGCATCGCATGCCTGTCTGGTTCTCCAGCGGGCTGAGCTGCCGCCAGCCAAGCATCTGTACTCATCCTGTCATTCCCAGTGAGGAAAACAAAGTAGAACGCTTAGGAGAGAAACCTCAAACAACACACTAATGTCAGGGGAGAAATAGAGCAGCGCTGCTAGTTCTTTTAGATGAGGAACAGACAGACAGGATTTGAAATGACAGCAAGCACAAAAACAACCTGGGTGCCGGAGAGGAGGGGAGAGAGAATGGAGAAGGGGAATTGGGGATGCTGCGGGAGGGAGGGAGGGATGGAGACACAGAGAGGAGGGTGAGGTGGAAAAGGAAAAGAAAGGAAAGAACAGGAGAGAGAATAGAGCGGCACAGAGACAGACAGAGGTAGAGCAGGGGCCGCAGATGCCACACTCCATCCGGCAACCATGACAACCGAGGCAAGCGCATGCCAAGCCCCCGTACCCTCAAGCCACCGATAAGGGGGCTGTGAACAACAGGGACGACTGCAATACACGTTGGGACACTGAAAACCTGGAATGGTTTAGATGATTTTGCTCTTTTGTTCAGGATTGATTCGTTTTTATTCCCACCCTTTCACCTGGGGTTGAATCCAGCTCTCTCCTGCTGTTTATCAGGGTGGGCTGAACCCGGATCAAAGGGAACAGCTGGGAACCACACACCGGAGCCTTTTCCACTGTGACCCATCAATGGACTCCCTGAGGTGGGCTTAACACCGCTCAATGATTCTCCACCTGAGCAAACAACCTGCCGGCAGGCTTGGAGACAGAATTTTCTTGAAAATCGCCTGTAAGACAGAAGAGACGAAACATGTAAGCCAGAAGACACAGGGTGAGTGCACTTTCCCAATTCTGCATGCAGAACATTTGGAATCATTTGGAAAGGTATATGCATTGGTAAACTGTTGCAGAAGGCGCAGTGGGATCAGTAGAGAGACAAAAAACAATATACGTATTAAAATTATTTGTTAATATATGATTGTTAGAAAGGTTTACACTACTAAGACTATTACATCCTCATTCAGATTATTTGTTAAGCAATGTCAAAAAAAAAAAAAAACATTTTAGCGTGGTGGTCGCTTGTGAATGTCAACAGGTTATTAAGACTTTAATGAATCTCCCACAGCGATGCTCCATGGCTTGTCCTCAGGAAACAGTACCATGTGTCCCTATGACTTACTACTGATATAATTAACTGGATACTGAACTTAGATGCAATCTTTAACAGATTGAACTCTAATAAGGGTAAATTGCAAAAGAAATGTAAACAAATTTATTTTTAAATGTTTCATGGGAATATCAGCCATTTTGCATGTCCTCATTCATAACAAATTGGTTCAAATATAAAGTACATTTGAATAGAATTTTGGGTTAGACTTTATTTTAAGGTGTTGCTTTTTACAGTGTAGACATATACTTGGTTTGGTATTTGGTAAGTTTCTTTTAATTATGCATACTGTATTACCATCTACTGTATTGCCATTGTAAGTACATGAAACATGTAACAAGCACACTAAAATCATTTGATTCATACAATTTCTGAGAAAATTTGGAATTTGTCTTTTTCTCTCATTGCTTGTTCAGTCCTGTTAAACTGAACATTTTCCCCATTAAAAATGATCTGGATCAAACAAAAGTAAGCCTGAAGTCGGTGATGAGTATTTTATCACATTTTTTCTCATACTGGCCTTGTCAAGCTCAATAAACAATATTTTTTAAATACCACAAAAAATATCTACAGACTTTTAAATGTTATAGAGCTGGCAAAAAACAGTAATGTTTTAAAAGAGAAATGAAATAAATAAAATTCAATAATAGTTATTCAGAAGTATTATTTATTATTGAAAGTTCAACAGCAACATTCTGAAATGAAATTATTAAAAACGGAGAAAACAACAACAGCTATTTTCAGGCACAAATTGCAGCGTTTCCTGAAATTTGACCCAGTAAGGCCGATGAGGAAATCATCTAGATTTTTTGACAGCACTGAAAAAATGATGGTTCATGAGCATACTAGAAGAGATGAAAATGGTTCAGTAATACAGTATGTAGGTTACAGGTACAGTATGTTGCACTGATGGTCACAGGTGTGCTTTGATGGACTTGACTTCTGTTTTCAGGTTTCAGGCTCAGATCAACCTATGTGTAAATAACATGAAATTTCAAGGTTGCTTTCATGCATTATGTAACACCATGTGGGTCAGCATCTTTACAGTTCATTTCTGAACACAGACTCTTTTTGTCTGCTCGTTTCAGTTGACTCTTCACCAAGAGTACTGTAATAAACTGTTCTCCACATCAAAATGTTTCCATGAATATCTCACAAATGTGAAACTGTAACACAGCAAGAAGGTGCGAGTCAAACGCTCAATTATCACTAAAAGTGTGCTTGATAATTGGCTCTTTAGTGTTAACAGTGCATGCATGTTGCTTAATAGTGTGTATTAAAATTAAGCAAATTATTCCTATACCAGAAAAAAAAAAACAGAAATGGTATCCCAGTCCACCCAAAACTTTGTCCCGACTGATATGAATTCAAAGGACAGCTCTGAACAAATATTAATATTTCTTGCTATGTTCAGAATGGAATATTAATGTGCAGCATACTGCACAGTACATACTGTATACTATATACAAAATGTGAAACTGTAGCAATAAATTTACCCATATTGTTGTGAAATGACCTAAAGTTATCTTGAGTCTGTCATGTTTACTGTAAATTTCACTGGAACAACAAACTATTAACCAGTTGGATATTAGAAATAGGAAATGGGGTAAGGGTAGGATTAAGTGTCAGGTTGGTTAAGGTGTGCCTGGTTAGCATGGGCAAGTTAGCTGCTGCTGGTAGATGCAAATACTCCACATTTGTGTATCCCATTCACACAGAATAGTTGCATAATAGGCACAGTATGCATACTGCATGAATGCCACAAAAGCAGCATGGTTGTATGCCATTCTGAACACATTCCTCTTGTCTTTGTGTTTACTGTAGTCGCATTAGTGAAAAAAAGCTCTAAGTAATTTTATAGCACTGTGATGATAATGGTACTGATGACAAATAATGGTACCGTGATGCCTCCTGGGATCATATTAGTGTCAGCTTAGGAATATATAAGCCCCAAAATGATCCTATGGCACGTCTCTGTGTTTTATCACAGAACAGCCATCTGACATCACCTCACTACATCCTGATGTCAGTACATCTGATACCAGTCTGGCTAATGACCCTGTTCTGTGGTGAGGACCGTATACAGGGATCTTGTCACTATGAGTCACTTTAACAAAGTGGCGTTCAGGTTTTACATAGCCAAGCCCCTCTCGTCTGCTCTGTGAAAAACAACAGTGGAGGGATTGAGACGCAGGTGGGCTCTGTAGAATTAACAGCGATCAGTACAGTGAGAGACACAGAGAGAGAGAGAGAGAGAGGAAAATGATTTCTGTGCCGTGGAATTACTAACTGGCTCCCCCACACTCTAGTAAACAGCTGCCTGTGCCTAATTAGCGTTTCGAACTGAATGTCTGCTCTGTGTGTGGGCTCCAGTCTCAAAAACACACTCACTGTTATGGCCAGCTGACGCTTTTACCTAATACCGACTACCCTGATGCGGTCTGTGTGACTGTGGCTTCCTTTCTTTTCTCTACATGCCCCACAATTCCTGACAAGTATTCCTGAAGTATACTCTGGGCCTGGGCTGTTGTTCACAGCTGAAAAAAGAAACGGAGGAAACAGAGCAACAAACAAACTACTAGAAATGCAACAACAGACAACAGTGTTGATGAGCACTTGTGTGGGTGGGTTAAGAGATACTGCAACTCTAGTTTAAATGAGTACAAATATATTTTATTGGTCATAACTTCTGCAGACACTGGACAAGGATAAAACTTTCTAGAGCACATGTGTCAAATGTTGGTGTTTGTGTACACTTTCGAATTGAGGTTACTTTGAAAGGCTATGCATTCATGTATATGCATACATCAAGTGTTTACGTGAAAACTGATGTATATTTTGGTATTTATTGGAAAGGCTTGCATGCTCAACTGTGCAATGCTATGAATTATGTATACCAGGACCTGAAGTCTCTGGTGAGTCTTATTACTTCAGGACAGATATGCCTCTGCTAATTTTGGAAATATGCAGTTTTGCGCTAATGATAATATGATCTTTTTCTGACCTAAAGTTATCTTGACTCTGTCTTGTTTACTGTACATTTTTAGCAGTCTGGAACAACAAACTATTAACCAATTGGATATTAGAAATAGGAAACTGGATAACGTAGGATTAAGTTTCAGGTTGGTTAAGGTGTGAATGGTTAGAATGGGCCAGTTAGCTGCTGCTGCTAGTAGATGCAAATTCTGCTGCCAAAAAGCATCTTTCTCTATAAGTGGCTCTGTATTCTGATGCAATATTTTTTGGAAGCAACATATGAATCACAAATATTTCATTATATTATTAAAGATGTTTGCCAGTAACCAATTTTTGGATTGCTCAAAATCATGAAAATGACTTAGTTTTCCCTGTGTTGTCGTCACAGCTTAGGATAGTCACTAGTGAAGGCTAAGTGGTTGTGTTCATTCTTATGGTGCCATTAGCCAATCAGAATCACAAGCATTACATGGTATTTACAACTTTGGTGATTGGCTCTGCAAACAGGTCACATACCTCCAATGGATCCTACATCAGACAAGCTATTGCCAATGAGATGTATAGGAAATGTTTCAGCTATTACAGACCTATTTGGGTTGGGGTTAGGGGCTCATTCAATAGTCTCATTAAGCTATTATTTCTCTCTGATTTGGGGGGCAGCTCATATTTAGAGATATTTATGGCACGGATATTGTTCCAGGGCTGATTAAAGATGCTGATCCAGGAATATGTCCTACTTGGCAAAATCACTGTCCTTTGCTCACGATTTAGTGATCTTGGCCTTTCATTAGGCCAAGACTAATGAAGCTCAATGAACCAATGACCATATGCAGTTGAAATGAAAGCCCAAATTACATGAACACAATCTGCCGCTGGTCAGACAATATTTAGTCCTGCCTCAAACTAATGCCATTGGTAGAGCCAATGTTGCTCTCGGGCTAGTTGAGATGCTCATGCAAACAGAGCAATGATTTGAACGAACAACTGATTCAGCCTTTGAATGGCTTTGCATACTAAGAAGGAATTGTTCAAATCATCTGGTCATCCGATGTACTCTGTGTCCTAAGCAAACACAGATCAATAAGATTCTGGAAACTACATTTTTTTCTTTCTCTCTCTGCAGACATTGCCTCACACTCGCGAATTGGAAAAGTACATTATCAAATTAATATAAATGTAATCATTATTAAAAATCAATTTTTGTCACTGAATGCACATTTTTAATGTTCTTGTTCAGTTTTATTTATTTTCAAGATCTGCGGTAAATTACCCATTGTCGATTTCATTATCGACATTATTAATACACATATTCAGTACCTTAGATTTTCATTGTCATTGGACCCATTGTATGTTCTTGTAATAGAAACTATTCAAAAAATAGAGTCCCTTGTTACTCACTGCATATCACCATTGCGACTGGTTAAGACACCCAAAGGACCTCACATTCCAGAGTTTGCCAGTTGTCCTTTCCATTCCCTAGCTTGTCCCAGCTTCTAAAGGAAAATTGTGAGCAGAATTTTGAAAAACCTGCTGGGTGTGATTGCCTTGGCCCAGTTTTCCTCAAGATCTCTGCTTCTATCATTGCAGCAGCCCTCACTCATATTTCCAATCAGTTTCACTTTACTGCTGAAATAGCCATGGTTTGGAAACTATTAACTGTGCAGCCCTTATTTAAAGGTTGTGATACG